CCCCCCTCCCTTCCTTCATCTGTACTTTCAGATATACAAGATTGATGAAACACATATGCAAAGTCCAGGTAGTTCAAGTATTTAAGCCTGCAATGGAAGACTATCTTCTTCATCTGTAATATGCTGATCATTATTATTACAGAAAGTGGGAACAATCACAATTTCCAAAGTTCACCTTAAAATCTCTTTCTTTATACACCAACAATCTGAAATCCAAATATTAAGCTTACTGTCACGGGAGATGAATGAACAAGGAAACAGGGAATTCAAAAACTTTTACCAGCTGAAACTAGGAAACGTTAAAATGTTGTCAGATGAATCTTCTGCCAATCAATACATTGACAACTTTTTACAGCACTTCTATAGTTCTGTGGTCAGCGTGTGCTTTGTAAAGATCAAATAACACTAACTGGTTTAGCAGGGGATTCAAGGACAGAAAATAAACTGGTAGAAAATTGAGAGAAATTCAGCAAAAACATTTATGAATCTCAGACAAGAAAGGAGCCATCCAGTTACAAAACTACTCTAAAAGCCTTGTCAAAATTGGATAAGGATGAGATAGTAATAGAAGGTTGGACAGCTGGTTGTGTGGGCCAGCTCCCTCTCCTACTGTACTTTTAACAAGCTCCAGTCACTAAAAGCATGTGAGGGCAGTGTGTGTGTGTGTGTGTGTGTGTGTGTGTGTGTGTGTGTGTGTGTGTGTGTGTGTGTGTGTGTGTGTGTCTCTCTTTATGTATTCATTGCATCAGAGAAGGACTCAGACTCTGTTTCATCTTACTGTCCAACAAGCTCTGACCTGGCAGACAGGCTTAAAAGTGTCTCACACACACACACCCTTATGTATTTTCCACTTATGACTAACAGTAACCGAGTTGTCCTAGTAATGTTGAGTACAGTGGAGTGTTACTGTATGTGTGTCATTCGTTGTGAGTCTCTGAGAGGGTCAGACGAGGACAGCTGCTGACCAACAAGGCCACACAGGATCAGAATGAATAGCTGGAGAGTCATGCAGCCTTTCGTGCACAAATGTCTGGCCTGAGAGCGCACGTCATATCAGCTGGTCCACCAGTTATCCTCCCAGCCACCTGCAGACACTGACAGCAGCAGAAACAGCTGTTGTGTATTGCCCATGGAAACAATGGGCTCCGTTTAGCAAGTGACATGCACTCAAAGGCTTATGAATATTTTATAGACCTCGTAAAAAGAATAGAGTGACATTTGAGGAAAGGTATTCACTTTTCTTCTGAGAGTAAGGGGAAAAAGATTGATATTAATCTCAATCTGCCTGTCCCTTATGAGCCAGTAGCTTAGTTTAGCATAAAGCCTGGAAACGGAGGGAACAGCTAGCCTGGTTCTGTCCAAAGATATTGGAGTGTTTTTCTCAAAATGTCATTCATGTAAGAAATGCCTTGCCCCAAAGACAGCTGAGACACGAAGGACATCCATTTGGAAAGGCAGACCTTGTTGAATGAATCATTTAAAGAACTGCAACTAAAACATTGCATGTGTTGGTTTCGGTTGTCACATGAGAAATTCAGCTGCCTCTTCCTGAAATATGGAGGCATATGTCTTTTAACTGGGTAATGGCAATGAGTTCTGCATTACAATTTGTCAGCAGTTTGCAAAATTAACTTTTTGACTTTCCTTGTACGGGTCAGTGGACTCGAATGATTCTGGTCGTATTGAATTCTGATTCAAGTGCAGAATAAGGGAGAGGCTAATTTAAACATTGCTTCCCAAATGATATGTTGGTCAAGCTTGAAATTCAACACAGAGAGAGGCGGCAGGGCAAGTTTCAGAACTGGCAGAGGCCAAAGTAATCTTCTGTGTCTCATCATAACAGATATTTTGTAGTTTGCTCATTTTACTGAAAGACTTTAATTTACAGCCTAATTTCAGATCAAATCACTTTTTACCACCCTTACATAACAGATTTTCTCTGAAGCTGAAGTACCATGACTTTGTTTCATTCCCATGACTTCTGAAAATGATTCACACACTGGTCACTTTTTTAACTTTTCACTCTCGGGGGGACATTTGGGCACCACAGTGAATAATGAAAAGACGCAGAAAAACAGATGCAGACATTTATATAATATCTCAGCTGTGCCAACTAGATTAAAGTGGACCTATCATGCTATATTTGAATAATATATTGGACGGGCATACCTATATAAAACATGTCTGACGTTTTTTTTTCAAAATAACAGATCATGCATTTTAGCCATGCCTCATTTTGCTCTATGTGCTGTATTCCAGCCCTGTTTTTGCAAGGGCTGATTCTGTGGCAAATGAGCTGCAGCTGACCACGCCCCCCTCGGCACGAGCGTCATGTTACCATGCTGTTACCATGCTGTTACCATGCCACGCAACCTCTCATTCCCCTGATAGGTGGAGAGTTGCCCATATAGGCGGAGCACACCGTTTCTGACTCAGAACAACTTCAAATCTGTATCAGTCTGTATCAGATAGGGGTCAGAGGGTTGTGTTTTCTGACACATGGTGAGTTCCCTGACATACCGGGGACACATATT